TGATGCTACCGATTGGTCCAGTGGTGAGAATTTTTGTCTTCTTGACATTGAGCCTCAGTCCATACTGAAGGCTGCAGTCCTTGACCCTCTTCTTCAAGAAACTATCAAATAATTTTTTGTGATTGGAGAACAAGTCTTAAATTTTCACATTATTTAAAAACTTAAATATTTTGTTCATATAAAACTGTCTGAAACATTGAAATCCTCTTTGTGTTAAAAAAGATTGCTTTTTAGTGTTACCATCACAAGAACATGAAAACAGCCCAAATGTCCAACCATAGTCAAATTGGATTGAGAAATTTTGGTACATTCGCACTATGAAATACTATGCAGCACACAGGAGCAAGAATTTTGAAAATTACTACATAACTTGAAAGGACTGGCGAGCATTAGGCTGAGTGAGCTAACACAGTCTCTTAAGGACAAATACTGTATAAGACCATTATGATAGAAATAGAAAGATAACTAGTAAAATGTGTGTGATTATTCAGGGCGGGAGGAAGGTAAGAACAGAGGGGTGAAGATGGGCAGAGGGAAATCACAGGATCATACAACTTGATGGGTGGAGGGAGAGGTGGCTAAAGGAAATGGGATGGATCCTGCAAGGATCTGGAAAGACAGGGTAGTGGTGGACATAGTTCAGTAGTGATTGATTTTACAAAATATAATAAATGGGAGTGATTTAAGCACAATTTGAATGAAGAGTAGTGTAAAACACAGTGTATGCAAACTTTGTAAGCAAACCAATATAAAATAAAAATTTATTTCTAAAAAAATAACAATAAAAGGAAAAAAGATTCCTTTTTATTTCACTTTTCTGATGGTTAGTAAATGTACACTGTCGTGAATTTTCAGTGTACTGTCTACTTTTCTATTAGGTGAAATTTTCATGAGCTGTTAAAGTCATTGTGTTTGAATAGTCTTCTTGTACCTTTTTCTTTCAGGTTGGTGTTTGGAATGCTTTATCCTGCATATTATTCCTACAAAGCTGTGAAAACAAAAAACGTGAAAGAATATGTAAGTACAGTTTATGAGTGCTTAATTCAGGCTAACTATATAATGATATACAAGGTGAGAGAATCCATCATTCTTTTAGAACGAGCTCTAACGTTTTGGGTTAAAGTAACAGTTTCAATATGAAATCAGACTTTTCAAAAACAAAACTAATTTTGAAGACGTGCCACAAAATGCACTTTAAAATAGTTTAGTTGTCACTGGCCTTTAAATAAATACGAGTATAGTTATCGAGATGAGATTGCTCTGAATTTAATCTGTAAATTCCAGTATATCCAGGGGTTGGTTTGAGGAATGCTTATAAATTTACTGATACGTTGAGAATGTAGCTCTGAGTCCAGAGTCTTTTTCTTGTTCCACGGGTTGTTTCATCACTTGCTGATCAATTCAGATATGCCAATACCGCATCACTACCAATAGCTATGATCTTTTACCTTCATGAATCAGACTGTATTTGTAATGGTTTGCTTTTCATTCTTCATTGCTGCTTCTTTCACTTTCTTCTCCCGATTCGTAGTGTTTTGGGATGGTATTTTTTTTTTTCGCCATTTTATTTTCCTTTTTCCTGTTGGTTTGGGGGTGGGGTGGGGTGGTGGATCTGTATGTGTAAGTTCTCTTAATACTCAATTTTAGCCATGTTGTTGTTATGTGCCATTGGGTCACTTGCGACTCATAGCGACCCTATGTACAAGAGCTCTAAACACTCTTCTATCCTGTGCCAACCTAGCCATCTCAAACGCACTTATTCTCACTGCTCCAGTCATAGAATCGATCCATCTCATCGAAGGTCTTCCTCTCTTTTGTCGCCCCTCCATTCTGCCAAACATGATGTCCCTCTCCAAGGACCAGGCCCTCCTTGCAACATGCCCAAAATATGTCAGATGAAGCTTCAGAATCCTTGACTCCAAAGAGCCTTCCGGCTTCACCCTCTCTAGGACAAACCTGTTTCTTCTCCTAGCAGTCCATGGTATATTCAACATTCTGATGCATAGCACGCAATTGCGAAGACTATAGCCTGGATCAGGCGCACCTTAGTCTCCAGCCTGACATTGTTGCTCTTCAGTACTCTTGAGAGGTTCCTCACACCTGACTTTCCCAATGTCTCTTGATTTCCTGGCTGCTCTTACCAAGAGTATTGATTGTGGAGCCAAACAAACTAAAACTGTTAACTATTTCAATCTCTTCACCATCCATACTGATGCTGCCAGTTGGCCCAGTGGTGACAATCTTTGTTTTCTTGATGTTGAGCTTCAGTCCATATAGGAGGCTGCAGTCCTTGATCTTCTGCAGCAAGCGCCTCAGGTCCTCCTCAGTTTCAGCAAGCAGGGTTGTGTCATCGGCATAACACAGGTTGTTGATGATTCTTCCACCAATCCTGATGCCACATTCCTTTTCATATAGCCCAGCGTCTCGGATGATGTGTTCTGCATACAGATTGAAAAGGTATGGAGACAGAATACATCCCTGACAGACCCCCTTCTTGATATTGAACCATGCAGCGTCTCCTTGCTCTGTTCTGACGACTGCCTCTTGGTCCAAGTATAGGTTTTGCATTAGCACAATCAAATGTTCTGGTATTCCCATTCTTCTCAGAGTCAGCCACAGCTTGTTGTGATCCACACAGTCAAAAGCCTTTGCATAGTCAATGAAGCACAGACAGACATTCTTCTGGTATTCTTTGCTTTCTGCCAAGATCCATCTAACATTAGCTATAATATCCCTGGTACCACGACCGCTTCTCAGTCCAGTCTGCACCTCTGGCAGTTCTCTGTTGACATATTGTTCCAAATGTTTTTGGATATTTTTCAGCAGAATCTTGCTTGCATGTGATATTAATGATATTGTTCGATAATTTCCACACTCTGTTGGGTCACCTTTCTTTGGAATGGGAACAAATATCGATCTTTTCCAGTCAGTGGGCCAGCTGGCTGTTCTCCAGATTTCTTAGCGCAACTTAGTAAGCACATCTAGGCCAGTGTCTGTTTGTTCAAATATGTCAGTTGGTATGCTGTCAACTCCTGGAGCCTTGTTTTTTGCTAATTCCTTCAGACCAATTTGAACTTCCTCCTTCATCACCATAGGCTCTGGCTTATATGCCATTTCATGAAATTCTTCTGTATCAGCCAATTCCTTCTGACACAGTGACTGTGTATTCCTTCCATCTTCTCTTGATACTTCCTGGATCATTTAATATTCTACCCAAAGTATCCTTAAGTATTGCCGTTCGTGGCTTGAATTTGTTTTTCAGGCTCCTTCAGCTTAAGAAACGCAGAGCAAGTTCAGCCCTTTTGATTTTCTGACTCCAGCTCTCTGCACATTTCGTTATAGTATCTTGCTTTGTCGTCCCGGGCTGCCTTTTGAAATTTTCTGTTCAGCTCTTTGATTTCTTGGTTTCTTCTTTTAGCTTTGCCTTCTCGGCACTCTAATGCAATATTCAGAGTCTCATCTGACATCCATCTTGGTCTTTTCTTCTTTTTCAGCCTTTGTAATGATCTTTTGCATTCTTCATGGATGATTTTCTTGGTACCCTCCCAGAGTTCATTTGGTCTACGCTCATTGATACTCAAGGCCTCTAACCTGTTCCTGAGATGGTTTTGAAATTTGAGTGGGATAGATTTAAGATCAAATTTTGGTTCTCATGGACTTGATTTAATTTTCCTCAACTTCAGCTTGAACTAGCATCTGAGTAGTTGGTGGTCTGTCCCACAATCAGCATCTGGCCTGTTTTCACTTCTGATATTGAGCTTCTCCACCAAGTCTTTCCACAAATGTAGTCTATTTGATTGGTATGCATGCCATCAGGTGAGATCCATGTGTATAGCCTGCACCATACTAAACTTCATTTCACTTACTTTGGGCATGCTCTTAGGAGGGCCCATTCTTTGAAAAGGGATATCATACTTGGAAAGGTAGAGAGAGGGTCAGCAAAAGAGAGGAAGATTGTCAAAAAGATGGATAGGCTATTTTGGTTGTTTTCTTTTGGTACATTTGTTAAATCTTCAAATGGGCCTGACTGCCAGATATGCTCCATAGAAGGGGGCAAAGGCTTGATGAAAAAGAGATCTCTCTCTGGCCTTTCTGCACCAGAAATTGGCTCCTGCAGTTAGGAGGTCAGCTTATAGACAGGCCAATATGGGCTTGACTGGCATGAGGAGACTGTGCTGAGGGGTGTTTCTCTACCTCAGTGATGGCTTTCCTAAAAAAACAAAAACAGACACCCACCTAGGATAGACTGACTCAGTGACTACAGTAATGAGCTCAAGTATGACCTTCCCCCACCCTCCATAAGTCTTGGCATCATTTACTGTGTGTGATGGCATAAATTTTTTTTTGCTGTTTTTTCCTCTTTTCTGTGATTTGAGTGAAAGTTTACAAAACTATTTTTTATTTTGCCACTCATACACATTTTGTTCTTTAATACTACTTTTCTTTTCCACAATATAATCCCACTTTCCCACTTTCTCCCTATAATTCTGATTTCACTTAAGCCTTCTATACCTCTCTAAGTCTTCATTTTCATTAATTATAGTGTACTGATTATACCCTTACTGCATACTGCCTTTACCTTCATGATGGACTGAATAGTCAAATAGCAAAATCTTTATCTGATTGGTGATAGGTAGCCCAAAAATGTAGGTAAACAGTAGATGCCAAAGTAGCTGCACTTGAGTATTGATGGCTCTCTTAGCCTCTCCAAAAAATCACATAACATACTACATACTGCCTTTGTGATGGCAGCATGATTTTTAGATACTGCTAGACAACCAGAGTTCCATGTGTTCAGTAGACACAATATTATGTTGCATGTGTTATATATACAAGAACACAGTAAAACTTCATAACTTTGCACCTCTCCATAGATAGAACTGTACTGTTTAATATTTTCATTTAATAAGAACTCTTTTTTGAAAGATAAGGACTGGTTTTCATTTTCACTGCCATGAACATAAGAGCTGAGGAATGAATATACTACTGGCCACTGGTTAATATAGCTGAAACTCCACTCTTCCCTCTCCTTTTTGGGATTCTCATAGTACTAAAGTTAAATGAGGTCTTTTTCGGGGTCTGAACAACTGTGCAGTTAAAGTACAGTATAAACTGTTTCATTCACAAAGGTGAATGTGCAGCAATTGGCATGTCTTTGAGTCTGTATTTACACTTCAGTCTATTGTCTTAGACTGTTCTTCAGCAAAACTAGTGAAACTTTTATGTATGGAGAGACTTCCAAGTCCTAAATCTTTAAGTCAGACATCAGACTGGATACTTCTGACTCACATAACTCCAGGGGCTGATGGACCCAGTATGGGCAAGTCGGTCAGCAGGCCTCAGTGGGCTGCAGAGACTGGCAGATCAAACGACTGGCTAGCAGTATTGTTCAAGTCCAGAAAAATCAGAAATCAGATGGTAATGACCCAGATGTGGGATCCCGATCAAGCAAAAGCAAGAGATCTTTGTCAGAATAGATATATCTTTTTAGTACAGGACACACACCCACACACACACACCCACACCCCAAGGAAATTCCTTTTCAATTGACTGGCTGCTCATCAAGCAGGTGATTATGTAACCCAGGAGGTGATTTTGTTATAATCAGTTTCATCAGTGCATGGCTACAACTGCCAAACCAGAGAATGCAGGACAGCCAAGTGGACACACAGCCTTAACCATCACAACTACATGCCTTAGCATGTGTTTATATAGATGGTGAAGGAGAATTACATATCGTCTTGCACAGTTATTGATAAAGAATAACTGTCGATTAACAAAACACTAGTCATCTAAAAGAATATTGCTATTAGTGAGCCCTATGGTATAAGCACTTGGATGCTTACCCAAAAGGTTAGGTCAGAGGTTCAAACTCAACAATAGCTCCTCAGGAGTGAAAAATGGTCTGTCTGTTCCTATAAATACTACAGACTGCGATACATCCCTGAGAGGGCTCTTGGGTCATACTTAAACGCACACTGCCACCAACAGTATTTCAGTTTTAGAGCTTGCACAAA